ATGTTGATGGCCAGCCCATGTAGAGAAGCAAAAACAATCACATTTTTTGAGTTGTTTCATCATAGGCCAAGATCCTTATCACTTCCCAGTTTCCTGATGTCAGATGCCGCACCGTAATTTGCTCGCTTTTACTCTGCAAAAAATAAAATTGAAAATATTGATTTCTCATTTTTTACTTAAACAGCATCTCACTGGTTTAAAAAAAATTACAGGCAGCTTTTACTTCGTCTAATTCTTTCTCAACTAACGTTAGGCTTCCTACACTAAATTCAAGGACTCACACAAATTCTAATAGAGACCATGGTGGGACAGTGCCTTTATCCCTGAGCTACAGGTAAACAGTACAGGAAGCACCAGGAGGCCATGCAGTTGTGAGCGCTGCTGACTGAAGCTCTTGGCTCCAATGTGAGACTTCTACTGTTCTCACTGAAATAGGTGACAGCTGTGCAGTTGTACAGCATCACAGCAAACATTACAGAAGAAACTGCTGGAACCGAGCAATGCTATTTATTCTCCAACTTCCTTCTGTGTGTTATGCTGTAACATTTGGTATGTTGTATAATATTGAATCCAAGGCAAAGCTGACTCATTCCTCCAACATTTGTCATTCCTCTCTATATGTGTGAGTTATTACACATGCTCAAAATTATTTCAGTCCAACACAGGCTTGGTCTGTCCTTCACTGTAGATGTGCACCTTTTCATTGGGGAAGGAACATTGCAAACCTTTCTTATAAGCTTTGACATATCCAAAATAATATTCAAGCACAATCATCTGATTATTCTACGGAATGCCAGAAGTTGTTCAACATTCAGATTGCATCTGTGACTCCCACATTTGTTCTTAAAGGCAAAGTTTCCTTATAGCTCCAGAGTTACATGAGAGAAAACACCTAGGATTGGAGCTCTTGGTCAGAAGACTCATATGTACTCTTAACCTGTGATGGTTTTCATGTTTCTGTTCTTGAGACTGGAGATCATTTTACCTCAAACTTGCAACTGCTGGATTGGAGGCATGTACTAGAATGCATGAGTCAGCCTCCATTACTGCTGGAAGATAGGCATGTGTCACCAGGAATGGTAAGCATTTGCTTTGCAAAGGTTACCCTAATTAAGAGTCTACTGGCAATTGAGCTTCCCTTACTCTTATCTTTCACAGTTTCTCATTGATAATAAGTTTATCTTATTCTTTTTATTTTGCCAAACACTAGTATGCTTTCTATTTCCCTAAAATGTACACAAAGGTAAGGAAGGTTAGCTAGAAAATTAATTCATCAAGTGACAATGTTTGTTCTTTTTCATTTTACTTGACACATCAGTTTAAAGCAAGGTTGAAAGAGCAGGTTATTTGAACTCTAAAATTCTGGCATGCATCTTTCTCAGAAAGGTGTTCCCATATAACTGAATCACGATAATGAAAATTTCATTAACATTTTTAAAAAGTTGTACATGAGTACAGCTGTTCATAGTCAATTCCTATGGACTCTTAATGACCTTTCAAATTCTTGACTTCTTAATTATTATTCTCTCTGTCTCTCTTTCTCACACAAACACAGACATATATATTTATCGGTACATACACACACACACACACACACACACATACACACACACACACACACATATATATATATATATATATATAAAGGGTGTACAAATATAAGTATATATAAATGTAATCCACTGAGTTCACTCACGTTATACATGAACATAATTGATTACTTGAGGCTGAATGACCTAGCAGTTCTCACTTGTGGCAAAGACTGAATCATTCTTTTCAGCAATCATTAATTGACTGTATCCCTTAATCTTAAGCAGTGGTTCACTAATGCTGTAACTTTAAATATGGTTCTTCATGCTCTGGTGATTCCCAACCATAAAATTATTTCACTGCTGCTTTCGCTGTTCATAATTCTAATTTTGCTAACATAATGAATCATAATATATATGAGGATTTCTGATATGCAGTCTCTAGAAGCATTGTGTCCCACAGGTTGAGAACTGTTGATCTGGGATTTCCTCGACCCATGAAGGAATCTTTAAGGTCTTGTGAAGTAAAAGCCAAGGCCAGTCGTATAGCTCAGTGGTTAAAAGCACTTGTCACACAAGCTTGATGATCTGAGGTCCGTTCCCCAAGACCATTATGAAATGAAAGCCCCATGTCCTGAATATTGTCCTCTCATTTCTACACATTTTCACATATCAGGGACTACATCCACATACAAATAAATACATTTAAAAGATTAAAGTTATAGTTGGAAATAAACTACATTTGTGTTCATGTATTAAAGTGGTTACAAACAAATAAAATGGACCTAGATATTTGGAACACAGATAAATGATACAATGAAGTATCCATTGTGTTTAATTATATGTGTAAAATAAGAAATTATATATAAAAAGAACTTTGGCTTTTGAAAAGTTGTAACTGCTGTAGTTTACCTTGTTTTATAGCATTATCCTGAGAAAATGCTACTTCGGAATATTCCCAAGACATTTTTGATGTAACTATATACTGAATATAGAAGTATGGCTGTATAGATATGTATAAATGCATAGATATAGGGGACTTATCTTCTGATATCTTATTGCCAGTTCTACTTGAAATAGAAAATGGTTTATATGCCATTTCCATAAGAGAATCCTTCTTCAAAACATTCTTAGTCTTCTTGGTATGGATCTACATTTACCAGCTTCCTAAATGCTCTGTTCCTGCCCACTCACGTGGTGCAGGCCTATAACCTCTTTGCTTAGAAATCTGAGGCAGAATGGTTGGAAGTCATGTGAAAGTTGATCTATATATAATGTCTGGTTCACATCCCCAGAACCTGTTTCAATGAAGGGAGGAAAACAAAGGAGAGGAATCTTGTTCTTATTAGTTCTCTGGCCTATTAGCTGTCCATACTCACATTATATCAAGTTCATTGTGTACTGTCTGAGGTAATAATATGACTCAAGACTTTGTAGACCAAAGGTACAAATATAAGAATGACAGGAAATGTGTGCAATTGTTTTTTCAGTTACACACCAAAGGCCAGCATGGAATCCTAAGCTATATTAGGCAGCTATCTTCACGTGCTTTCAGGATCTACATTGATTGCTTCCATAAAAGAGAATTAATACTTCAATATTTTAGTTCATCTATAATGACAAATTCAAGATTAAAAATCACATAACATTGCAATGATTTTTTATATTTGTGAGTATTTTTAAATACTTGTGGTTCATAGATTTCTAAGTATGCTAAATTGTGAGACTGTCTCAGAGAGCTAAAATTTTTTTTAACAAAGTTATACATTTAAGATTAGGAAAAAAATCTATTTTAACTAAGCTCTATCTTGCAACCTCTCCCACAACAAAGGGAAAAAATCTCATTGTGGAATCTTTAGGATGCCACAGTATGTCCCGCAGTATACATTTTTTTTCCACACATTTTTCTTGCAAATATTCGTTGCAATGGCTTGTTGGTCTGGTTCGAGGTCTCTAGCTTCTGCTACTCTGTCAATACTAGAACCTTACCAGGACTGTTCTCAGATATCCTGTTGCCTTGTGACATGGAGATCCTAGAATTTTGAATCTGCAGGACAGGCTCTGTCATGAACTCCAGCAGTTGACTAATGGCATAGATCTTAGGATGCGTCAATTCAAAACCCTGCGTCTAGGCCTAAGATGTACTTGAGCTAGTCTCTCGATCTCCTGCTCTCCTGCCCTTGGGGCTCCTTACTGGCAACACACTCTCCAATCTACCCCACCATACCCTTCAAACCAAGGCCAGATCTACTGTGCTGTTCAGGTAAGTGCAGGGCCTGTTCTCCTGAATGTTGCAGGTGATGATGGACAAGGCCAGTTCTCCCACTCTTTTTATCTTGGTGCTAACTCTCCTGCCTGCCATAGATGTCAAGGTATAAGGGGGTGGTCACTCCCTTGATCACATCACCACATAACAAACAAGTGGGTAACCAGCTTTCCCATGTTCACACTGTTTGTCCAGCTCACCCCTGCTGCCATTAAGGTCAGCTCTACTATGTTGCCCAGGTGAGGTACAGGAACCTCTCTTCTGAGTGTAGCAGCTGGTGACGGACAGGGCCAGCTCTCCTGCTCTCATTATCTCAGGGTTGGGTCTTCCATTTGCTGCAAATGGTGAGCAAGGAAGAGGAGGAGGTTATGTCTCCCTCATCCACATAGGAAACAATTTCCAAGGCCAGCTCTAGAATGCTCCTACCCATGGGGCTAGCTCACGTACAACTCCCATGTGTATGGGTTGCTTTCCATAGTATTTCAGTTAATTAGCAGCAGGGTCATATCTCCCACTCTCTTGTGCCCATGGTCAGATTTTCCACAAAGTTGAGGCAAGGAGCAAGTTCTGCACACCCCTCAGACATCAAAGTGTTCCCAGTCAGCAACTCATACCAGAGACTTCAACATGATCTTTTGTGGTAACAGACCCATGCTTCTACAGGGCCATGGATCCTGGCATGAACCCAGATGTGGCCCCTAATGGCAGCATAGGCCTGGACCCCACTGTAGTTTCAGGTGGCATCACTGGCTACTTACATCAGGCTGTCCCTCACTACCTTCAAGCCATCAGTACTGCCTCTCTTCATTGTGCTGACATCTTTGTTTCTGTTTCTCTTCCATTTCTCTACCATTTACTTATTCCTCTTAGTGGTGTCCAGGGTCTTTGAGTGTCTGGTGCTGTTTCAGGAGTTCTATGACCTACTCATGCATTATGGGACTGGGAAGAGGTTATCTTCAACATGGTCTGCACCTCCCAGGGCCTGCATGACACTGGATTGGTGGTCATCTCACCCTAGCTCCCTATCCAAACCCCACAGTCTTGGTCTGGTGGTAATCCCATACTTATTCTTTGCCTGGACTACCAGTGTAGCCCCATGCAATTGCCATCTGTCTCAGGTTCACTCCCATCTGACTGGCTAGCTCCCTGTCTGAGCCTCTAGACACTGGAGTAGTAGTTGTCCCAGGTTCATTTCTTTTTCAAAGATTGTTAGGCTGCTAATCATTCAGATGTTCAATAATCAGAACGCTGAGCATAGACATAGCCTCCTTCTTCTCTGCCACCTACTGACACACATGTGACACAGGAGCCACACCTGCCAAGTCTCTAGGGGCAGCACATTAACTTTTTTAAGGATTCCAAGCAACACATTCCAAACCAAACAGAATTTGTTAGATTATTATTGGCCACATAAAAATAAATGTAGAGACTTGATTATGACATACAATGGGATTTATGAATCTCAAGGAGTTTTTCAAACACTTTCAAATAACAAAGTCACAGAAGGAAAATTTGCATTTTTCACAATTTATGTGTGTGTGTGTGTGTGTGTGTGTGAGCGTGTGCATATGCACTCAAATGTTCATGCCATAGCATATCTGTAAAAAGTCAGAGGACAGCCTGTGGGAACCATGCCTCTCACTCCACTGTGTAGTTCCAAGGAATGAAAACTAAACAAAGTATACAAAGTTTTATTACACAGAAATATATCTTTTTGTTAATCCATATGTCTTCTATATAAACTTGGCAGAACAGAAACCCTGGGTGTAGATATAAACCTGGGTATACTTCGAAGAGAAGCTACAGTATGGAAATATATTTTCAATTCACCTCTTACTTTAACTTTAAATTCAGAATAAAATAGGGAACAGGAATAAGACTTCATTCATTCTCTGAACCAGCCTGGAAGTCTAGAATAGAGTGCTATAGTGGAAAGTAGACATGAGACACACACCCTGAATTGGTGATGATTTTATCTCATGCAAAGAGGCAAAATCTGAGCCAGGCATTTCTATTTATAAACTGGAAGCATGTTGGTACATTTAGCAGTGCCCTGTATTTGTTACCTGGTAACTTCCTGTTTATTCAAATATCTGATATTAAATTCTGCCCAAAGCTTACAGTCACTAAATAAGGGAGATGACACACTGCTTAAAAAATATCATGCTTTAATTTACTGTCTATTCGTCACAGGAAATGAACTCATTGTTTTCAGACAATGTCCTAATCAGTTAGAGTAGTGAAATTTAATGAAAACCTTTTATTAGGTTGATTAGGTGATAGGATTATGAATTACAAGCATGTGATTCTCTACAGTACTTCTAATCAATAATGTAACTTAATATTGTTCTGAGTGGAATCCTCAGCTCTCCTGAGTGAAATTGCTTGCTATTGTATAGACAAAGTGGACAAATGCAACAGTGAGATTTCGGATTTTTTTATTTCACAGTTTGGGAAAATGATAGTGTAGCTGCTTATCTCGAACAATCTGGAAACTGTGCTCACCCCTCTCTGAGTGGGAGGGATATTGTGAGGATTAATCTTGATTCTCAACATGACACCATTAAGAATCACCTAAGAGACACTACTTTGGGCACATCTATGAGGCAGTCTCTAGATTGTGATAACTGAAAAAGGAAGATGCACCTGAAGTGTGGTCAGCTTCATCATGGGCTGGGATCCTGGACTGAATAAAGAGGAAAAGTGACCTGAGCACCAGTATTCATCTCTCTGCTTCCTGACTGTACATATGACAAGACTAGGAACTTCAAGCTTTCCCACCATGATGGACTATCATCAAACTGTGGCCAAAATAAAACTTTTTGTATGTTACCTTTGCTGAGTACTTTGTCACAGAGATGAGAAGAGTTACTAACAGGCTATGTAAAAATAACTCTCCAGGGGAACAGTTTCATACACATACCAGAAGACAATTATTGTTCCTAAAAGCAACTGTTTATTAATGTTCACATATTTGTGTCCATGTGAGTGCATGTGCCTGTATGTGAAGGTATGTATACCGATGCCTGTGAGTGGAGGCCACAAGTGGTTACTGGGTGTCCTCTTACAGTAAATACTCTGCTCCAGTTCCAGTGAGGCAGTCTCTTCCTGAACCTGGGACACGTAGCATGGCTTGGATGGAAACCAACAAGATCACTCCTTCTTTACCTGCTCCTCTATAAACTGAATGGACAGACTTCTGAGTCCAAACTCTGATGATTGTGGAATAATTGCTAAGTAGTAAGTCGTGTCTCCAACACTACAAGTAATGATCTTCAAATATATTTTAATAAACAGTATGGTACTGAAAAACTGCAGACTTTGTGCTTTCATATATTCACAGTGAAAGGAATCTGGAAACATGTGTAGAGGAATAAGCAAGAATTTTATTTGGATACAAAAATTGTGATTTTGCTAGCATATATCAAACAACTAATGAAATGTAAAAATGAATGTGCACTATGCATAAAATCTCACTGAAACCTAGAAAAAATAGTTCATAGTATAAGCCTATCAAGCCAACTAAAAGCTAATAAAAGTAATTTGTTTACTAATTACTCATGAAAGAGTACATATTTGAAATCCAAATTTTAAATACTACCAAGGAAACAAGTTAATAGCATACTCTACAAAGTGCATGCTCTGAAAGTGTGAGGACCTGAGTTAAATCCTCGCTTTAAAAATGAAATTCTAAAAAAATTAATTTTAGTTTAATTTTCAAATTAATATCAAATCAAATTAATTTAAAAGATGAGCTAATTTTTAAAAATTTAAATAAAAGAATTAAAATTAAAAAGCATTAACTCTCCATAATATCAGGCACTTGTCATCTCATGGACAAACAGATCTCTGGGGTTCATGGGCCAGACAGCCTAGTCTATTTGGTGAGTTATGAGAGATCCTTGTCAAACATGGAGGTAGATAGCAAGTGAAGAATGGCACTCAAGGTTGACAGATGGTCTGTATACATGCATATGTGTATACACACAGAGAAAAAGGTAGAGGGTATAAAGAGAGAGGATGTCAGAAGGCACTACTGTAATTTACATAAAATTATAATCATATTTTATTGGAGGCTAAAAAAGTAAAAGAATTATTTCCCTTATTAAATAACTTTGACAGTGGATAGATTCTATAAATGTGAAAAAATCCCATAAAGTTTCATGAGCACAAACCTTACACTCCAGCCTGAAGAGAGCCTGAGAGTACATGGGTAGAAAGCCTCCCTCTGAGGTTTTCATCTATACTTGTGCCAGAGAGTACAATGTTTGCAAAGATTTACTGGTCTCAGTCAGTAACCACTTCAAATACATGATCCTGCCCTAAGTGAGTCAGAAGGCTTCCAGACACAGCTGAGCCTCACAGCAGATGCTCTGAATGCAGTACACTATGTTGCCAGATTCCATCATGGTCAGCATCCCATGAACATCCACTAGCAATAGACTACTGCTCTAAGGCCAGAACAGAATGACTATGCACAGCCAAGAGCATCTTATTGAGAGGTCGGCAATGTAGTGTGCACTCCTCCTTTACTTATAAATGATGATGCTTTGTTTTGAAGAGTCAATTGGCACTATATGTGAACCCTAACGAACATATTACACTTGCATGTGGTTTACTTCATGAAACGTGGTGGTGCAGGAAGCAATTTGTCAACATGACTAGATATGGAACTGACAAGGAGGCAATCATCTGAACATTCCTGTGACAGATGTTTTGATCAGATTATTGAAAGTGGGAATATCTACTCTAAATATGGCAGCATGTCCTGTTATGATCCTAGTAAAAGGCTGTGGAAGACTGAAAGCTGCTTTCATCTGCTTGACTTTGCCCTTGCTGGTAAATTCATCCATTCTATTAATGCTTCATATCTCTGTTGATATAAGAGTCAGCTTCTTAGGAATTATATGTATAGTGAAGATGGTTCTCCAGTAATTTTCCACCATTCCACCATTTTGGGGCCCTACTAGAACTACTGGAACATCCAGCCTTATGAACCTAGCAATTATTGGATGGTTTCCCTTTCCAGTGTGAGGGAACAGTTGTTGGACTTCCCACTGTATCACGTAAGCCAATCTCATAAATCTACCCTTAATATGTACTTATTCTATCAATTCTGTTCCTGTAGCAACTTCTGACTAATGTACTTACAACTCTATGAACGTTTAGAAATGGATTCTTGTGAGGCAATTAAAATAGAAATGTTTGCGAATAAGATTGCTTGTCTAAGAATCTAACATCAAAGAGTAGAATAGCTTTAATGATAAAAATGGATCATTTAAAGCAAGCATAACAAGTCTGCATGAGTGAATGCCACAGATCTATTAAAATCACAATTCAGTATATGCTAAATGCAAAGTATTAAAAATTCTATTAGAGTGTATCAGAAAAATTATATTTCATTCTATAAATGTTGCAAACCTAAATTATATTGATTGAAATCTTTCTAAAAAAATCTTTATTTTAATGTAAAAAGAAACTGGAAATATATGCATCAATTGATGAAAAGCTTATTAAAAGGAATGACAGAACAGCATAGGATTAATTTATTCTTTCATTACTTTGTTTAGGTATTAATCTTGAAAAGTGTTGTATTGACTACATAACAACAGTTTTATACAATTAATAAAACAGTCTTACAGTTGTTTTTAAAAGGAAATAAGAAGTTTCAAACTATTTTCCCAAATAGTGTGTACATTTATGCATGTGTGTGAGACTGCACTTGTGTGTGCATACATGTATGTGAGTTCTGTGAACATTTATACATGAGAAACTGTATTTACCTAAATATCAATTTATGGTTCCATAACAAGTATGTTAATTTCAGTCAACTGACAGGCTTCCCACAAATAATACCATAGCCTTTTTTTTCTCTGTTTGACAAATTATTAATGCCCTGAATGGCAACCAGAATAGAGTGAAAGTTTTCTACTTCAATGAAACATTTTCACACTCTGGATGAAAGGTGAACAAAGTCAACACAGGTGCTCTTTTTGGTTGCTCTGAACATTGCAAGACTAATGGATGTGCTTGCACACAGGCTATTTCAGCAACAAATGAAATTCCTTTCAAGGCATTTAGAAAAATTCCTGGCCCACTTCTTACTAAAGAGATACTGGCAGTAGATTGTTGTTGGAGGAGAATCATCCTTTTCTTGAGAATGTGGCCACTGGTATATTTCCCATCTTATAGCTGTTGTCCCACCCAGGTTCATATGTATAATACTAACTAGACTTAGTGGTTATAATGGAACTACCACCACCACCACCACCACCACCATCACCATCACCACCACCACCACCACCACCACAACAACAACAACAACAACTGAAGTTGA